ACTCATGATAACAAAAGACGCACATTGCATATTTTAAGCCATATTCAACAGAACAAATTGGAATCCCTTTTAGTCAGTCTAGATGCCGAAAAAGCATTTGACTCTGTAAGCTGGACTTTTTTATATAAAGTACTTGAAAGATTTGGCGTACACCCCGATTTTATCCAGATACTACTCACATTATACAACAAGCCATCTGCCAGAATAAAAGTTAAGTGGAACCTTTCCAATCCTATTGTCCTGCAGCGCGGTTCGAGACAGGGCTGTCCATCTTCTCCAATGTTATTTGCCCTGTATATTGAGCCACTTGCACAGTGGATAAGGCAGTCAGAGAATATACACAGCATTTGCATGAAAGGAAATGATCACAAGGTTGCGTTGTACGCAGATGATGTTCTAGTCTATTTATCTGACCCAACTCATACACTCCCAGTGCTGATGGAACTTCTGCAAAAATTTGGAACATACTCCGGATATAAATTAAATGTACAAAAGACTCAACTTTTAACATTTAATTATTTACCTGAGAGAAAACTCTCTGATCAATATGCACTTAATTGGGACCAACATTCACTGAAATACCTTGGTATACACCTACCCAAAGATATCTCATCTCTGGCAGAAATAAATTATGGCCCTCTGTTAACCAGAATCAAGGAAGATATTAGTAAATGGAATGCAGTCTCCTTCTTGAGTCTGAGCCAGAGAGTTGAAAGTGTAAAGATGAATATTCTTCCTCGATATCTTTTCCTGTTTCAAGCACTCCCAGTAGAAATTGGGGAGAAGCAATTTTCAGAATTCGAGAGTATTGTCTCCAGATTTATCTGGCAAGGAAAAAGACCCAGAATAAAATATAAAACTCTGCAACTGTCAAAGGCGGAGGGGGGCATGGCATTACCACCCTTTAAAGATTATTTCTATTCTGTTCTATTTATGCTGCCCAAAATATAGAGCTAGATGGAAAGATATTGAAATTTCATTGGGAGAACCTCCAATATACACTGTACTGGCGCATTCTGGCGTTGACAAATATGGTAAGGAAATTCAAAACCCATGGATTCAAAACCAACTGAAGATTTGGAACAAAAGTTAAAGTGGAATACCACTTAGATGATAAGATACAAATTATGAGATGGGGAGCATTTGACCCTGAGTTTGGGCCAAACAAATTTGACAACACTTTCAAACTTTGGATCAAAACAGGAGTGACAACATGGGAAATTTAAAGATTTTAATAGCCTCAAGACAGAATTTGCCAATTCTGACTTTTTCAGATATTTGCAATTGAGGAATTACTTTGAACACAATATTAGCTCAAAAACAGATATGAAAGACCCAATATTACTTATATTCCTTCAAGCCAGCGTATAGTAATAAAACTACTCAAGGTTTAATTTCTGAAATTTACAAGGCCTTTCAGTCCAGAAAAACACATTCCACTGAATATATTAAAGAAAAATGGGAACAAGAAGGATCTTTTACAATATCAAATTTTGATTGGCTAAACGTGTGCGAGTCCCAATGGAGATGTACAAACTCACATACATGGCGAGAGTTTAATTGGAAATGTCTGGTGCGTTTCTTTAGAAGCCCAAAGCAAAGGTGCAGGGAGCGGCGGCTGTTGGAGGCAGTGTGGGGCTCGGGCGGCAGGTCATTGGCACATTTTTTGGGAATGCCCAAAGTTAAAACAATTCTGGCTGGAACTTCACACCATAATAATAAATATACTGAAAATCAATATACCATTGCAGTTTACCACCCTCTTCCTGAATTATTTGGATAACCAGACTAGATGCAAAAACAAATATCTATTTTCTATTATGGTTTCTGCTGCTAAAAAGGCTATTACAAGGCGATGGCTGCTCCCCGAGCCCCCCACTGTGGCAGAGTGGAGTATTGTAGGTGAGGTTTACCAAATGGAAGCGATAACTTTTTCTATTTGTCTAAGTAAACAAACTTTTGTTCGTTTATGGTCTGAATGGGTCAGATACATAAAGCCATTACAACCAGATTTTGTGGAGGTTCAAAACAACTGATATATGTCCCTTTTACTCTGTGGAATAGGCTTTGAATTGTATTTTATTTTACGATACATACCAAATGTGTATTTTGATTTACTCTGATTTTATTTTGTATCTCCCTTCCTGTAAATAGTTACTTGTTTTTGTTTGAAAAAGAAAAAAAAGATTGTGGTTTACAATGCAAGTCTGAAGACATTTCAAACTGTCATGTTTAAATGTAACTCACTTTCTGAAAAAAAAAGAATTAAAAAAAAAAATACTTGCGGACAAATACCCTATGTATCAAAAGTGATACCAAGCAATAGTCATACTTGCAGATTGAAATTTAATTTTTTGATTTATAATTATGTTACAGGGCTCAGTAATCTCACCAGTCTCCAAATATGAGAATTTTCTGGCAATTATTTCATGGACCAGGCTTTATAGGGTAAAAAATCCAAAATGAGCCCACACTTCAGACTTTGTCCTGCAGGTTGTATACAGAGGGCGCTGTAATCCACCAAGATAATATATACTGTATATTAAGACGTTAAATGTTAGAGTCAAAATGTTTACATGGGTTTACTGCTACACCGATAACCATGACATTCCTAATATGTACCCAGCCTCAGTCCTGGATGTATAGCCTCAGTCCTTCCCCTAAGACCAGTGTTCACCAAAACAGCTCAACCTCAGCTGACAGGGAACCTGCAGCTTTCACAAAGAAGGATTCTGTGGGGATTTTAGTGTCTCTGTCTCATGAACAGAGACACAGAGTGTCTTTAAAAAGTCATAATTTTCCAATAAATCCTCTTTTATGCCACAAATTTTGTCCCGGGACATCTTGGAGACCAGGGGCAGACATCTTTGAGACCTGGGGCTGACGTCTTGGAGACCTTGGGTGACACGGTGGCTGAGTGAATAGTACTTTCACTTTCACAGAATTTGCAAATTTGCCCAAGGCTACTATCCGGAGTGGTGTGTTCATTAACATGCACTGTCCTAACCAAGTAAAACATTTAAAAAACATCTTGAAGACCAGAGGCTGACATCTTGGAGACCCGGTGCAGACCAAGGGCAGATGTCTTGGAGACCAGGGGCAGACATCTGGTCTCTAGTAAAAGGAAAGTGTATGATCATCCATAGCTTCTCACAAAGATCAGTTTCTTAACCCATTTAGCCCCACCGGCAACTATAGTTGCTGAAGTTTATCATTGTCATTTTCTTCTCACAGAAAACAAAATCAAAGGTATTAATGCAGGTTTTTCCTCTTATATGCTAGTATATAACTTAGACAAAGTTATAATTTGAAAAAATCATGTTTCCTGGTTCTTCTTGTCACGTGACATCATCAGCTTCCAGTCCTTTCCGAGTGAAAACATGGATGAAGCAAACCATCCCAGAAAGAGGTCATTTTCATACATTTTGAATAATTTTTCCCCCAAACATAGAATAATTATTTGATCATTGAAGTCTCTAGAGTAACCGTTCCTCAAAACATTGTACCTGGGATAAATATTTGTTGAGTTATGGGCATGTTTCTGTGCACATATGATGTCACTAGAGGAAAGGAAAACAATGCCTATTATACCTAATAACAGTGCCTCATAATTTACTTATTTTAAATTGTAGAATGGTGTACAATGGATCATTTTAAACCTCTTAGATTACTCTTCACATCTAAATAAAGTATTCACAGGTATTCAAAGCCTATGTCTGTAGGATTTTGATATAGCTGTAGCTCAGACCCTTCTCCAGCATTATGGAGTAAGACACGGGTGTCCAAACACACAAACATAAAACAAATATAAGTAAATAACAATAGAGTCAACGACTGAGATTCCAGAGGGTCTGAGATTTACAGCAAGATATAGCATGACTGAAGTTGGTTGGATGACACTGTCAAAGTGCCTCAATGGCGACTTTGTGTTAGCAGCAGAGGGCCACATAAAGTGGCCCAGAGGGCCGCAATTGGCCCGGGGGCCTGAGTTTGGACATGCCTGAAGTAAGATGAAGTGGGCATGGCTGATGGCAGCAGGTTCGATAACCTCAACCACTGGCCCTGCAACAGCGGTAGCAAGTACAAGTACAAGCGATGCAAGTTCTGTGAGAAATGTGTTGCCTCATGAGTGTGTGTATATGGCAGAATACATTTATATATCTGTATCTTTCTTGAAATTCAGGGCATCAGTCCTTTTTATTTTTTTTGCTGTTGGGAAAAAGAAAAGCAATAGAAACTACTTGTAGGCTAATTCAATGTTTAGCCAATTTTTTGGATTGCAAATGGGAATTTCCCTTTTTGAAAACTTTTGTTTTGTATTTTAGAATAAAGAAACCGTTCAAGTTGTTTGATTCCTCCTTTATAAACTCTAAAACAACAATCACAATCACTTTGGCTGATCACAACCTTTCTGGGTTGATTATATCCAGTTATAATATCCATTATGACCTATTGACAAGCTATGTGCCCACCGGCAACTATAGTTGCCAGCCCTAAATCTTCAAGGCAAGGTCCAAAATAAAAAAAAAAAATACATTTCCTGATTCTAGGGAACACAACTAATAACATTATATGCATTAACACTCTGAAAAAAAAATGTGGGCACAAATGGGTTAATTTGGTTTAAAACCAAATTAAAGACTCACATATATAACTCATATATAACTCGTAACGCTTTTGTTTCTGATGTAAAAAGAAAGTTTATCAACAAACTGCATATATCTAACATTAGTCTTATAATTAACACACTGTTAAAGCTGGGCCACGTAACTTTAGCCTCATAAATAACACGTGTTAAAAGCTGGGGTTGTGACTTAAGTCTCACACACACAGGTCAACCACACACACACAGGTGACACACACACACACACACAGGACATACCAACACACACGCGCGCACACAGACACACACACACACACACACACACACACACACGCACACACACACACGCACACACACACACACACACACATGCACGCACGCACGCACACACACTGACCTTTCGCTCCTCGCAAGACGAAGCCGAACCCCTCGCAATCCTTCTTGTGCAGCACAACGCTCTTCTCGTCCACGGCGCAGTCTCTGTGGAGAGAACGGCCGTGAGCACAGCCCAGCGCCCGGAGCATGGCGACAGAGGAGCGGCAAGACACCGCGCTCATGGCCTGTGCCGCGTCCACCGCGTATGCCGCCTCTACCGCGGCTGCCGCTCCCTTGTCTCCCCTCAGCAGCGCTCACATCACCGTGTCACACAACCCCAAACAGTCTCCACCGTGAGGAGAGAGGAGCCGAGGAGAGGAGAGAGAGGCTCTGTGTATGTGCGTGTATGCGCGTGCGTGCGAGTGCGTCTATGTTTGCGTACATGTGTGTGCCTGTGTTTGTGACACACACACGCGTCTCTTTCTCTGTGTGCGTGCGTGTGCACACGGGTAGTGTGCGTGCGTGTGTATCAGCTGGAGTGGTTCTCAAACTGAGGGTCGCGCGCTGCAGAGGCTGAAAATAGCTCGTCTCTTGATTCATTATTTACATAGTCACGTGCTTCACAAACACGAGGCGTAATTGTGCCACGGGTCTTAAAGGAGACAGGATCCACGTGACGTCACAGGTTTAATCTATCTATCTATCTTAAAGGAGACAGGACCCACGTGATGTCATGAGTCTTAACCCTTTAAGCGCCAGAGGTTTTTTTCTAAAACGCTCGATTTTGATTATTTCAAAAGGCTATAACTTTTAAGTGATAAGAGATAAAGGCTTTCTGTAAATTAGAAAAATATTATGGATGGCCCAAAGTTTATGTAGGGAATAAATCCACCAATCTAATTTGCATATTATGACGTAATATGGCGTTAGAAATTGTGGATTTTAGAATTTTCATACAATATTTTAATTTTTCTAACTGACAGACATATATTTATCACTAGGACATGAACAGACACAGAACTCACACTGTAACATTGTAAATGTTCAGGTAAATAGTAACAAATTCAAATCATGGTGCTGCTGTGGGAAGTCCGCCCAGACGTGCGCCTCCAGGTGAAGCGTGCGCCTCCAGGTTAAGCGTGCGCCTTTGTCACCGCGACCCTCCTGCTGCTGTCTCCTCTGCTCTCTCTCTCGTCTCCCTTGCTCTCTCTCTCGTCTAACAAACACATGACAAAGGCTTCTCCAACACGTTACTGTCCCAGTGATGACCGGGAGGCATGATAAGACATGTGGGAGGCACTATTAGAGGAGACTTTAGCAGAGACTGGAGTACGCGGCACCCCGACGCGACTTCTAGGCTTGTTCTACGCAAATCTAACTTGTCTTCGGACCTCCCAATGACTGCCCTGACCCCGAGAAACACTGTTCTCACCACTGACTCTGTGCAAAGTGTCTAAAGTTAGTGCTTGGAGCGGTATAACACATGCACACTGCCTCGCAGCTGCACTTGCTTCGCTATGATTTCTGTACTGGTTCAATGTGGTCTTGCTCGAATATTTTGGATGGGAACATGTCATTTTTTGGGGCCAGGGAGGTAGTCTGACATGTCTGCCAACTAGTGGCAGACATTTAGCGTTTTTAACAGTACCGCAGCTTGTCGACTTAAATCGACCGTGGCGTCTAGAGGGTTAAAGGAGACTATATGAATTACAAATATGACATGTTTTAGAATGTACAATCCTATATCAATAATAGACAATCAGGACTAAACATGCTGTAACTCCCAAGCTGCCACCAGAGGGAGCCGGACACACACTATTAAGCTGTGTTCCCACCAGATCATGCAATGCGGCGAGTTTCAATGCAAAGTCAATGGTGATGTCTGCCCATGCATGTAAGTCGCGGCATGCACTTTTGTCCCTTGTACCTCGCATGAGCGAGGTACTCCGTTCGGCTGATTGGCTAAAGCTAGAGCAGGGCGAAATGAAAAGATACATCAGCGCTCCACGAAGCACTGGGGATTCATCACACTCAGAAACGAGGCCATGAAAATTTACACAAAACTGAAGCAGGACTATAAAAAACACAAAGACCACAACAACAATAAATAATTATTGATTACGCAGCGATCAAACCTCATGACGCCGCTGAGGGGTCCTACTCTGCAGTGTAGCCACTGAGAGGCCGAGCGAGAGGACGGTTCCTGTAGCTGTCCCACCTCCCTCCTTTTACCAGGAACTCCTGCGGTGGAAACGCGACTATTGGGGGACGCAGTGCTTGTGAGCATATGTCTTCCCCCTGATTTCACATTCTGTTGTGACTGTAAATAAGTCCTGCTAACGTGTTTGCCGATACGGAAGTACCCACCAATTCCGCCCTGCAGCTAATATGTAGTGAACGTGCATCCATGCCTCCATCAACGCACGACCATGCATCGGCGGTGGGAACATAGCTTAACAGGACTCGAGACAGAAGGGACAGAGCTACAAGTTTGTGCCAGACGTTAGCATGGATAAACAGCTCTAGGTCTGTGTTAATTTACCCCTCTTCTAAACCCATATATTCTGCTCCTCTTTTTTTGTAGTGAGCTCTTTACAGATGATATACTGGTTAGCCATGCTTCAAAGTGAACCCATGTGTTGAGCTGTACTTAAAGCTGGGCTACTTAAATACAACTTCATATACACCAGGGCCAGAGGGATCAGACCTCATGTAGACCAGGGACAGAGTGGTCAGACATCAGGTAGACCAGAACAGAATGGTCTGATCTCATGTAGACCAGGACCAGAGTGGTCAGACATCATGTAGACCAGGATCATAGTGGTCAGACAACATACCTGCTTACAAACATTAAACAAGCATTAAAGCTGGGGTACGCAACTTTCAAACCACACAAAAAAATCTCAGTATTTTCTGATGACCAGGATAATGACCAGAGAGAGACCAGAGCAAGAGTGAACAGAGAGAGAGACCAGCATGTTGTGTCTGATTAGTTTCACTTTTACGAGACCTATTATCCAATCAGAGAAGTGAAGTGAGGTACCCCTGATTTTTTGCCTACATCCCACAGGTACTGTATGAGTGGAAACACAGGTACTACTGGTACCTGGAGGCGTCAAAGCTGTCGTAGGAACCCACAGTGTAGTGTCGGAAGAGTTTCCTCCGGTCCGCGCGGTCTGAGCGAGAATCTGAAAAAGAATGTTATTTACAACAAGATGAAAAACAGAAATCTGTTTGATCCCCAGCATTCACCACATGTTACACACTGTGATCATGTGACATCACACAAACTAAAATTTCACATTGTGGAGACGCAGGTGAGACACCTATTGGGGTAAGTGTGGTCACTATGTTAACTATAGTCAGGGTTAAAAGTCTGCTAATTTGTATAATTCTTGGAAAAATCCACATGAAAACAAACTGTTGGAAGGAAACGCATCTTCTTTGTCAGCACATATAACTATGGTCTCATTATTTCTCTGGTCTTTCTCACCTTTCTCTCCTTTATCCTTTTTCTCCTATCCTCTCTCTTCCCTCTCCTTTCTCTCCTCTCCCCTCTCCTATTCTTTTTCCCCTCTCCACCTCTCTCTCTAATCTTTCTCCACTCTTCTCTCTCTTTCTCGATCTGGGGAGAAACCTGTGAGAAAGAGCCCTATGCGTCACTATTTGACTCTTTGGGCTGAGTGAGGGTGGTCCTTACTCAGTCCAATGCTGTTGTTAGGTGTTGTTTATCGTTGCAAGTGCCATGGAAACATCCCCCCACTCTGTCACCATGGCAACTTCCTCAGGACGGTTTCCAACGAGTGGATTTACTGTAGTCAAGGATTTGGATGAACTCTCCAGTGTGCAGGTGACTTGAGCTGCCACCAGAGGGAGCGCCTGCAGTCAGAGCTCCTTGTAACTCCCTATGCTGCCACCCGAGGGAGCTACAGCACATGTGATTGTGAAGAACCTCATTTCACGTAAACTAATTTACGGGCAAAACTTTTGTTTTAAAGGCAGAAAACTGCTATGAATGTGATGTTTTAGTTGTCATAGTAATATCATAGTGAGCTACAGACCGGAGCTTTCGGACAAAAGGGGCGGAGCTACATGTTACTTGATGATACAACCCACAAGGACTTGTTGTTGGACCACTACTATTTATTTTGTTTAATCCTCAAACATTTTAAAAATTGTGTTGTTTGCTGATAACACACGCATATTCTACTCAATCTATTTTAAATCCATAGAATAGGGAATGGTCAAAGTGAGTAATTGGTTAAAAGACAATAATTTATCGTTAAACTGGGACAAAACACTCCCCCCCTGGACTGCCACCTTAACATGGTGGGGGAGTTTGAGTACTCAGATGATCCTGGGAGCTATGTTGTTTGGGGCTTTATACCCTTGGTAGGTTCTCCCATCGCAAACAGGCCTTAATGGGGCGTTCAGACCGCCAACGCTTGAATGCAACTCCCATGCGCACTGGACGCACATTCACTATATTTCTACCATGCAGTCCATGTGTGTATGCGGCAACATGTGTGCCTGTAATATGAGCAGCATTTGTGGGTGTGGTTATATTGCAAGTTTTATAGCAAAATGTGTCACAGCAACGCAGAGGCGAAACAGGAGCAGTCATGCTGAGCGGAGCCAGAGCAGAGCGAAAGAGTGCTTTTTCCATTTAGTTTAGTTTGTTTAAGATAAGATAGACTTTATTGATCTCACCCAGGAGAAATTTACATGTCACATCTAGCATGGACAGAAACACTCAAGATTGTGCAAAAGAAAGACATTTGCAGAAATGTTAAATGCAGGATATATTATGTATAATAAAAAAGTGGCAATCAAGAAACACTGTCAATAGTAGTGCAGGTTTTTCAGTCCTAATGCAAGTGACTTAAAGTGACTTATTGCAAGGCCTTTTGCAATAGCGCTCCTTCTTGCACTGAGGGTGCCTCAGTCTTCCACTGAGAGAGCTCCTCAGCTCCTCTACAGTCCTGTGCAGTGGGGGCGTGGGTGTTCAAGCACAAGTGGTTGCGCTCACACCAGTCGACAAATGCAGCTTTTCCACAGTATCAGTACGGTACAGTACAGTATGCTTCAGCATGGTTATTTTGCGTTTCCACTAGTGGATGGTATGGGAGATTTGCGTACTTTTCCGTACTGCCTCAGCCGTGGTTCCATCCCCATAGTACCCGTGCCATGACGTCACGTCGGCCCACTGCCTTACACTGATTGGTCAACGAGTGTCGTCACTGGAAGCGACATCTGACCCTTTGGGAAAAACAACTCAACCACCATCTTTAAAACCGGCTTCTCTGCTCGGCTCTGTTTCGGCTACATTACGTCCTCCTCACTCCAGAGAAATGGAATTGCACAAAAAGCCCCAAAAGTCCTGGTCCTGGTCGGTGGACGAGGTGCACACGTTCCTCTCTTCAGGCCAAAAGAAAGAATTCAAAGGCAGCTCGAGGCTCAACACAGTTTTCAGGGAGATCACCCAGCTCTGGATTTGTGACTAGTCTGTGGTAATCCTGGAAATAACTGGTTAGCTACGAATCCCGTTAAAGCTCTCACTGAAATGTATTTACTGTGTAAATGTACGATTGGCTGTTGTACACAGTGAGCTAGCTACATTTAGCTTCATTTAGCTATCGATAGCAGCTAAGCTAACGTCTTCCCTGTGCTACTGTGCTTTATCGTGTATTATCTGCAGTATTCACGTGTTGTCATTCTGTTTTATGCTTGTATTTAAGTTGTTGTGTGTATATTTGTATGAGAATCCCTTCCCATAAGTGTGGAGATTACCAACGAGTAATGAGTGACCGGAGTATTCTCCTCATCTGGACCTGGTCTGGACCTGGTCTCAGACATACGTACTTTTGACTTTGTAAACTGTTGGTTTTGCACTTTACTTTTGTTTTCAATAAATCTGTGATTGTATCCCAAGACTGTGTTTCATTCATTTATTATTATTGTAGCTGAGGTTTGGGTATCGATTGGTTGTCTGGTCTCGGAGTCTGCTGTAGTCCGGACCCGAGTCCAGACTAGCCTAGCTTAGCCTAGCCTAGCCGCTAACTCGCTACCCTTATGGCTGCCGCTGTCTCTCCCATGTTCCTTTACTGCTCGAGTTGCCATATGACGAGTTTAAACCCCGGATCCTCCTCTGAGGGTAGTGATAGATGTGTTAAGTGTAGTATAGTAGTAGCTTTGGAATCCAGGGTTAGTGAGTGAGCAGTAAGTAAGTAAGTAAGTAAGTAAGTTTTTATTTATATACCGCCTTTTCACTGCAGATCTGAGTCTCAAAGCGGTTTACAATTGTTAATTATGGGCATTTGTCTCTCACTCCACACAGAGATGGGAGCGGGGTCGCCAGTACAGGAGGCGCATGCCAGAACTATTGGACATATTTTTAGTGGTAGGGGAAACCGGAGTACCCGGAGGAAACCTACGCAGACACGGGGAGAACATGCAAACTCCACTCAGAAAGGCCCTGGTCCGACCGGGATTCGAACCCAGGACCTTCTTGCTGAGAGGCGAGAGTGCTATCCACTCAGCCACCGTGCCGCCCAGAGCAGAGTCTCGAGCTAGCGCTAGCATTAGCTATAGCCTAGCAGTATCCTCGGACATGCAGCCCTCCTCCTCTGTACACTGCTACACAGGCTGCTGTTGCTAAAGGTCCCATTCAGATTGTACAGAGCAGTCAGCACCATTGACTTCACAGTGTCCGAGTCATTCTTTTAAGACATAAGCATTTTCAAAAACTACTCGTGCTGTGAAGAATTTTCTATTAAACACTTACTCTGATATTATAATAAATCCATGCACCGCACCAGTACTAGTTACGCGTCACACGTAAATGACGTGGTCTGACAACGCTGAGGACATACTGGGGGTACTCTTTTTGATGGAAAAGCACGCTAACTGGGCCATGGCGCGCCGTGTAGAGTCAAAACGTACAGTACTAGGACTGTGGAAAAGCGGCAAAAGTCCGTGATAACTGATCGCTGTTCCAGTTCTTTCCCCTCAGACACACAGCCCACGATGGCGGAGTCGTCGGAGAACTTCTGCAGGTGGCAGCTGTGTGTGTCGTATGTGAAGTCTGAAGTCTAGATGCTGAAAAGAAACGATGAGAGGACAGTGCCCTGAGGGGCCCCAGTACTGCAGACTACCACCTCAGACTCACAGCTGTGTAGCCGCACGTACTGTGGTCAGTCCGAGAGGTAGTGATGGTCCATGCAGAGAGGTTACTGTCCACTCCCGCGTCCTCCATCTTCCCCCGCAGCAGTGCCGGTCTGATGGTGTTGAAAGCGCTGGAGAAGTAAAAAAACTTGAGCTGACTCCTCACCTGGTCCAGTGTGATGGAGAGGGTGGAGTGGGCGGGACACCGGGGTGTACTGTCAGAGGTGGGGGCTGGGGATGTGAGGGCAGGAGGGCCCGGGGCAGCCGAAAGCAGTGTCCACTGGACTGGAGACGTGTGAAGAGGTGGGGGCGGCAGATGGAGAGGGGGGAGAATCAAACTGGTTGAAATATTGGATATTCCGAAACCGGAGATGTTCTTTAGGCCTCTCCACATTTCACAGGTTCTGCCCCAGCTTTTTCCCATAGTCCTTCTTGGCCCTCCTAATCCTCCACTGGAGCTCGTGCTGGATCCACTTCTGCCCCTCTTTGTCCCCTGAGATGAAAGCCTTTTCTTGAGGTTCAGGAGGGCTTTAAGCTCAGGGGTCACCCATGGGTGGTTTTTGGAAAAGCACCGTATCTTCCTTGTCGGTACAGTGTTATCCACACAGAAGACAATACAGTATAGTCTGTTATACAGTGTGCCAGTCGACAAATGCCGCTTTTCCACAGTATCAGTACGGTACAGTACAGTATGCTTCAGCATGGTTATTTTGCGTTTCCACTAGTGGATGGTATGGGAGATTTGCGTACTTTTCCGTACTGCCTCAGCCGTGGTTCCATCCCCATAGTACCCGTGCCATGACGTCACGTCGGCCCACTGCCTTACACTGATTGGTCAACGAGTGTCGTCACTGGAAGCGACATCTGACCCTTTGGAAAAATAACTCAACCACCATCTTTAAAACCGGCTTCTCTGCTCGGCTCTGTTTCGGCTACATTACGTCCTCCTCACTCCAGAGAAATGGAATTGCACAAAAAGCCCCAAAAGTCCTGGTCCTGGTCGGTGGACGAGGTGCACACGTTC